CACTGCCTGTGGGGAGGTCAGGATTAAAAATGATGATTTCCAGTGGCTTTCCAGTGGCTGCAGAAACTCACTGTGTTAGCAGAGAACCAGAGTGAAGATTTAGCCCAGACTGTTGACCAATACTGCAAATCTTTGCAGAAAGAGGTGGTGGTGTTGTCCCTTTTGCAAGCTCTCGAGGACACAGCCTACAACATATGGTAGGGTGGTCAGTCACAGAGATGCCAGGGCCTCTGGCTTGGCTGAAAGAGGAACTGCTAAACACCTCAAGTTTTCATTATTCTTGCTGTAAAATAAGGAGGAACCACAGAAGAATGAGTCTAAGAATGGTGACACTGGGTCACGTTCATCTCTGGCACCAGCCACAGCAAAGGCCCAGGGGAGAGTTTAGGAACAGAGCAAGCACACAAGAAACCCTCCTGCCCCTCACAGTGTCCCCCCAAACTCTTGCCACCTCCAGCTCAGCCTCTTCAGACAGTAACAGGGCTGCCCAGAAAAGACAAAGCAGAGATTGTTTCACCAACAGATTTGGTACTTTGGCTGGCTCCACATCTCTGTTATGTCCACAGAACACAGTCCCGTTCCTCACATCCCTGCAGGGGAAGCCCTGGGATTGGCCCTGGTCTGTTCTCAACACAAAAGCCATCCTGATTGCAAGAGACATACCCAGAAGTGTTTAAAGTCCATTGCAATTACTGAATTTTGTAGTGCAATTACCAACACCAAGACTCAGCAAAAGCTCAGTTCCGAGGAATAATGGGTCTTTACTGAAAATATCCCAATGGTAGCCAAGTGCTGGCACCCTCCATTGCTCCCTACAACTTTTCAGGCATCTGTAGCCACATCTTGCAGCACAGAACAAGCACCTTTCTCAGTCTGAGAGACAGATATTGCTCTGCAGCCTCAGAGCAACTCTAAATTACTAAGGCTCACAAACCTCTGCTGAGCTACGGACAGGAGCAAGGCAGAATGCAAACTGGAGCCCTCAAAACTCTGTTCATTCTCCCGTTTATTCCTGAGCCACTGAAACATAAAAAGAACATAGGGTATTCCAGGAAATGGGACGAGATCAGGCAGTGATGGATGAAGCACAGAGTGAAAAGTCAAATCCTGGAGAAGAAATAAAAGATGGTTCAAAACAGTCAAAGAAACTTCACTGAAAAAAGAGAATGCAAAAGTGGAAGAATAAATGGCATCAGAGACAAAGTGGGATTGCATATGCCAGAGGCTTGCAGAATCTTCTCTTCAATACTTAACAGAATCATAGAATATGCTGAGTTGGAAGGGACCCATTGGGATCATCAAGTACAATTCCTGACCCTGTGCAGGACACCCCAAGAACCACACCATGTGATTTCCGTCTCTCTCTCTCAAAAAGCAGTTCCTGTACTAGAGGATAGGACATGAGGTGTTTGTAGCCTCCTTTTCTAAGAAGAGAATTTGTACCTTCCGTAAAAAAAAAAACAAAACAACAAAAAAACCCAAACCAAAAAACTAAAATCAAATAGAAAATTTGTGTTTTCTAGATGAAATTTATTTCCTCTTGAAAGAAAAAGCAACTGACTAAAGGTTTCCAATTTACAGTCACATCAGGAGAACAGAAATATATGTCCAGCCAAGAGACACTGGAGTTTAGTACCACACTGGCACCAGATTTGTGGAGTGCCTGGGTGAGAACAGAGCAGGTACTACCTGCATGGCTGCTGAGCACCTTCCCAGCTCAGAGCCTCCTGGAAAGAGGCTGCATGGAGACCTTGCATGGCAGGTCAAGAACAGAATCTAAAATGCACATCCCTCAACAGCCCTTTGATTTTTCTCCCAGTGCCCTTACCTGAAGACCTTGACCACTTGAAGCAAATGGCAAGTCTTTTATCTCATCAGGCTTTCCATCAGGATTCACATTGTTTCAATGGCAGTCGTTGGAATGTGTTAACATTTTTTACAGTCTGAGAGAGTTTAACATTGGATCTTTCACACTTGTACCGTAAGAAAAAAAATCCAGGTAGAGAATCCTAGAAGATGCATCATGGCTATTGTGAGGAATGAGAACATCACAGAAAAATAAGAAATGTAAATTCTGACACAAATGATACAAAAAATACCAAAAAAAGATGTTCTGACAAGCGGTAGTTACCCAGCATTCCCGCTTCCATGGATCCCTCTTCTTGTGCACAAACAACGAAAGAACTGGCAAATTTGTAAGTCTAAAGTAGGGCTTTTCTAAGACTACAGATTTCTGGCAGGTTAAGAGCTAAATATTCATGGTTCATATAAATCCTATAGCACCTGTTTGCAGGAGAAGGAGTGTCAGATTTCCTTCATCAAATTCCTGCTATGAGAATGATTTGACCTCCTTAAACCTGACTGCTCTAACAAGCTTTACATGGAACTAGACATTCCCATCGAAGTAAACATGGCAATCCACTAGTAGGGACTGGGAGAGATGTTCAGCAAAGACTTTGAGCTGCTGCATTGCTCTTGGAAAATACTAAGACTCTGGGGTATTTGCTTTAATCTACCATTTCCTGGGATCCTCCCACTAGACCAGGTTGCTCAAGGCCTTGTCCAACCTGGCTTTGAACACTGACAGACTGGGGCATCCACAACCTGTTCCAGTGTCTCATCACTCTCACAGTAAAAAATTTCTCTCTAGTATCTAACCTAAATTTCCCCTCTTTCACTTTGTACCCATTACTCCTTGTCCTGTCACTACAGCTCCTGACAAAGAGCCCCTCTCTGGCTTCCCAGTAGGTCCTCTTCACATACTGGAAGGTTGCTCTGAGGTCCCACACACAACCTTCCCTTCTCCAGGCTGAACAGCCCCAACTTTTTCAGCCTCTCTTTGCAGGGGAGGTGCTCCTCTGGATTTTGTGGCCCTCCTCTGGACTTGCTCCAACAGTTCCATGTCCTTCCTATGCTGGGGGCACCAGAACTGTACACAGTACTCCAGGGAGTCTCACAAGAGCAGAGGAGCTAAATGTCTACTGGGGGATAAAATGCAATTACAGAACCCAGCCCACAGGGAACAGTCACGATTTTCAGCTTCCTCGAGACATCCACATACTGCTTTAAAATCAAAGTATTTGGGGTTCCAGTGCATTTAGATTTTTCAAAGAGATACTCAGACTTAAAACTGTGCTTTTGGTTTCCTGAGATGAAAGGAGTTGGAATGATTCTAACGGGAGGAAATGCAAAGTTCCAGTGGGGCTCGATCGGCTGGGCGAAGGATGTCCCTACAGAACTGTGTTTATCTCCTTCCATTTTGAAGACGAGCCAAGGACTGACCAAATTTTGTGGACATGGTTATAAATAAACTGGTTAAAAAGAGACTCCACCTGCAGTTTCTCAGTGGGCTGACTAATCCTTTCCTACTTGGATTGTCTGTATAACTCTGCTGCACAAGATTAACCAGCCAGGCATGGTGCACTCACTGCGTTTCCCCTCAGGGGTGGCCACATCTCATCCTGCAAAACTCATTGTGTCCCCTTACCAGGGAGGATGCTTTGCAAAGGAAGGCAGCTCCTGCTATGAAATTGGAGTTGCCTCTTCCTAGTGCTGATATCTTTCCAGGATAGCTTCCTCTGAAGCAAGAGAGGAGAAAGAAAAAGGGAGACTTAGCATTACTTTATACCAAAGCTAAGTGTAAATATATACTGCTGAATTAACAGTATGGAGACTGACCATATGCAACCTCTTATTAAAGTAGCCAAGGGAAAACATCCACAAGTCCAGGCTAACTACTGGCATCCAAAATGCCAAGGTAAATCAACAGGATATTTGCAATGAGTTTGCCAGACTTTGTTCAGGTTTGGGGTGCAAATTCAGGAAGAACATTGTACAGGAAAAAAGGTGGAGTGGGAATCCAGAAGCATTTGGCACAGCCCCCAGCAAAGGTTGCCATCTGCCACTAAGCACTACCCTGGCCCAGCACCACCCAGAATTACTAAATGTAAACTGCTGCCAGAAGAACATTTATAGCAGGACCAAACTCCAAGCAGGAACAGGTAGGCAGCTGCCCCAGCACACAGAGATCACTGAACTACTTGAGGTTATAAACTCATCTCTTCTCCTTTCAAGCCAAGACTCAGACTTGCCTGTCATCAGTTCCCACATGATGTGTGTTCAAATTTTTTCCTTCCCTGCTCAATTTTGCTGGAAGAGGGATATGACTTAATTTGTTTGGACTGACCCGTTAAATAAACACGAGCAGGACGTGGTGTGCTAGCAGAGGACCATCTGTGTTTTTATGAAGAGAGCTGACTTCTGAATTTACTGATGTTGTCACAGGCAACCCTCTTTCAGACATATTTATGCTGGAACAGACTCTACATTTCTTTCAGCCCCTGAGGGATTACTTTAACAAAATTTGTGTTTCCTCTGGATTTTTTCCTTAGCACTTGGTTAGAGGAAAGTAGAAAACCAATCCTTGATCTGCATGAAGATCTCCTATGTTTGGTCCCAAAGTTTGGGAGTTACTCACCAAAAGGCCAGAAAGCTGCTATGAGCTGCACTGCAGTGGGGAAATGGAACAAGTCCCTATAAGCTATTAATTCAGATATGAAAAAAAAAAGAAAAAAGCTAGTTATAAAGGCATATTTGACATTTTTAAGGGATCGGAGAAGAGGAGAGGAAGGGGAGTGGGAAAAAAATGTTGCTTCATATCATGATTGTAATGGTTGGTAAGGCCAGAAAATAAATTTAAGCAACATTTTCACCCACTCTGGAGTTTCTAGACTGCTTCTCCATTCAAACAGCAGCAAAATAAGCTTTCTAATTTTTCCCTACAATAAGCACATACTGGGTTTGTCTACCTCCCCCTCTCCAACCTGTATGAGCCTTTGCTAGCAGAAGTCTTGTTAAACCAGAAGTCTCAGTGGCAGTTTTCACATACATGTATACATGTGTGTGCACGTACAACACATATACACACATGTGAACTAGCAAAATACTAATATAAAGCGAGTGTTCCTTCTCAACATCCCTTCCCTGCCCACCCCACCTTCCCTCCCCTTCCCCAGGCCAGCGTATTTTCAAAACAGACAGGAATTGAGCACTTCCAAGAGCCATCCAGCCCCTGGTCACACTGCAAATGTCCCGGTGTGCTGACAAGTCCCCGGGGCCACCTCTAGGACAGGTCTTGACGAACGGCCTCGAGTTCACAATACTGATTCCTTGGATTCAGGGTCTGCTGTACTGCTTGTGCTGGAGACTCGGTTTTTGTGGGTTACCAAAGGTGACGTTTCTGTGTCAGACTTGTTGTTGGCAATTGCTTCTACGGTGACCTCCTTTAGCTCCTGCTCTCTGTCTTTCTTGTCTTTTTCATTCAGGTAATTAAGGATGCCTGCTCCTAGGGCATCCCCTTCCACATTCACAACTGTGGTGGTTCGGTCCCTGGTTAAGATCAGAAACAAAAACCAAAGCAGCAGGCTTTTAGTTTAAGAGAGTTACAACACAATAAGGGGAGTTGATTCACCCCTGCTGATCCACTAACATCAGTGGAGCTGGACAAGGGAGATGTAGTGTTATCACAGGTGTTCTCCACAGAAGTATCATCACTATTTCAGAACTAAAAATGTGCACCAGAGCTGGTTTAAGGTCAGCCAAACTTACTAGTTCTGGTCTCTCAGTGGGTTGCAGCAAAGGTACTACTCTTTCTCAGGCATCCTGCTTTCCCCAGCCCATCTCCTTCCTCCACTCTTTCCCCAGGCCAGCATTTTTCAAATTCAAGTTCAGAGCAGGAACTGATTTTGGGCCTATCCAGAAAGTGACTCAGAGCACCCAGCTCTCTCTTTTAACCACAGCCACTTGCACCTTAATCCAAACACCTACTGAAGGGCTCCTTCCAAAAGCACAGAACTAGTGTGCCAGGATGTAATAGAGGATGTTTATGGGTCATAAAGAAGAAAAATTTCTTCATGTGTCTTTTGAGATTTGTTCATCATTCTGCAGCCTAAGTTAACATAGGTTCAATTTGTAATTGTGGTCCTCTCTGGTAATTAAACAGTTGGCATCAAAACAAGACACAGGGCTCCTCCCTCCCTCCTTCCCCATTCTGTTACAAGGCTGAGTTCCTTGACTAGAACAGTGTTGACCACAGAGGGATGCTGCTACATATTTTGAAACAAAGGCAGCCAGCACAACACAGGCTGAGGGCAGCCCAGAGTGAAAGGAAGGGCAAGATTTTCACTCTTGCCTCCAAGCACTTGAAAGTACAGGTGTGGAACACACAGATAGCACTGTGCTTCCTTAGGTAGCCAGGATACAAATGGCTAGCCACTGCTTTGCCTCTCTCTCCTGTCCTTTGGAGGTGGCTGATCCCCAAGAGGTTACAGTACAAAATGAAGCTGTAGGAATAGGATTATGCTCCAGACCTTCTCCAGCCTCTGGAATTCAAGAGGGTCCTCAGGCATCCTAATTTCCAGATCTGCTGTGGGAGCACACCATCTATACAGAGAGGATGGTGTTTCCAAAAAGCAGTGCAGAGGGATTATGGGCAGCCTAAACCAGGAACTGCCCAATAACCCACCAACTGGAACAAAAATACCTCTGTGGGATTCAGATCACTTGACCCATACTGACCAGTCATTTCAGACCAACTTCAACCAGAGGGCTTGAAAGCAGATTATGCTTTTAAATTATCAGATCATGCTTACTCCACTAACATTTAAACTCTAAGCATGCTGTAATTCATGAGTGCTCAGAGAAGTCCTTCCAGTTTGATTCTCCAGTACTTGAAGAAGTGCAGCCAGCCAGGCTTGTTTGAGGAAAAGTGGAGACACCCTTTTCCACAGGGTTCATCCAAGCTACAAGAAATCAATTGCATGTGGCATTTACAGTTATCATGCACTTGTGACTGCGTCCCCAAAACTTAAAGCAAAACAAATTTTCTAAGATCTCCTTAATCTAATTTAGGTGGTGCAGAAGGTAAATTTAGGCCTTAAAAAGGACGTAACTGTGCTAAGTGGTGAGATAAGCTTCTCCACACAGAGCTGTGCATGGAGGCAATCCCTCATGTTTCAAGGAGGGGGATGAGTCTTGGAAAGAAAAGGTGACAACACTGTCTAGTAAACTTGTGGCTCTCAGCAGCATGTTCCAGTCACGACACTGCCCACAGCTGTGATGAATGCCACAAACTCTCCCTGCCAATGGATAGCACTTCTCTGTGACACTTGTGTTGTTGCTTTGACCAGTCTTGAACTATAAAAAAACAATAGCTGACAAGAGCTTCTGATGGAGACTGCTTCCCACATGTCACCAAGGAAACTTTCCATCACTATTCAGACTCAACTTCCTTTCTCCTCCCCTTCCTTTCTACTGTCCAACTAACTTCCAGCAATGTTAACACCTTCTGAACAAACTTTCAAGAATCTCTCTAAAGGGAACTGAAGCCAAGAAGAAATAAGTTTCAATAAAGGCTGAATAAAAAAGCTGAACAGGGATTTTAGCATTCTAACTGCTCTAATTGAGAAGGGACCACCTTTTCCATTACCTGTCAAGAGCTACCTGTCCTGTAGGCAGACATATCTTGTAGGGTCTTATTTTATGCTGGTTTTATTTCATATAGGGTTATATTTTGTACTTTGACTACTGTGGTCCTTGTTTCCAGCTGAACATGCTACAAGGAGGCCACAGTGAGGTGGATGTCAGTCTCTTCTCACAGGGTAACAAGTGATAAAGGAGATGGTCTCAAGTTGCACCAGGGGAGGTCTAGATTAGATTTTTTTTTTTTCATGCAAAGGGTTGTAAATCATTGGAATAGACTGCCCATGGTGGAGTCGCCATCCCAGGAAGCGTTCAAAAAACGTGTGGATATGGCACTTGAGGACATGGTGGTGGTGCTACACTGATGGCTGGACTTAAAGAATCTTAAAGATCTTTTCCAACTTTAACGATTCTGTGTTTCTATGTCATGCAGCAGCAGATACATGTGGCCTGAAGTACTTACACAATCCAGTCCACGGCCAGTATCAAGGAGAGGTCGTTGGTGGGCAGCCCGATGGCCTCCAGGATGATGGCGATGGTGAGGACTCCTCCGGCAGGGACCCCGGCTGCTCCCACGCTGGAGGCAGTGGCTGTCACGCTGCAAATCAATTCCCATGCCTGGTTAGCAGGAGCTCCTAGCTCTCCTCTGCTGCACTTGCATCACATGCTTCCATGCTATGGGAATTGTAAACAAACTCTACAGCACGGGACGCACAGATCGTTTGCTTCCCAGGCAAACCCTTTCCTGCCTGCTAATGCAAAGGAATGGGTACAGAGCAGAACTCTCAGCAGGATCCACAGCAGTTACCAAGGCAATGGCTCTGGGTTTAACCCCTTAATTGCCTTTTCAGAATAAAAAACAATCAACCAATACAACTATACCCTGCTGCCTTACTAATATAGCCATTCCCGAGTCCTGTATCAGTTCCACAACATGCTGAGTACTTTACATCTCCTGACCTCAAATGTATAAAGGTAAACCTTGCCATGCAGGGCACGGTCCCTTCTCTGTGTCTCCTTTGCACTCCAACACAGCTCCTAAATCAGAAGCTGGAAACCACCTTTTTGTGTGCAACTGAGCTTTCCTTGGGCTATTCACTGCATCATCCTCTGGCCTGTGTTAACACCTGATTCACTAAGAATACCTGAAAGGCTAATTTGGCCAACTCCAAAAAAGTAATAATGCCCCAGCCCTGTCTTAAATAGGCGAACAATGTACTGGGAAGTTTAATAAGGAAGGAAATAAAACCAGTTTGGGGGGGTAAAAAATTCCAGGAACCAGCCCTAGGAGGCGTCTGTTGGATGTAGTTATGACAGCTCAGCACGGTGAGGGGCCAGGACTCCTTCTAGGATCCTCACTGAAGGCATTTTGAGGCAGGAAATGAAGATAATAACACTTTATGGGATACAGGATGTGGGAGGATATTCCAGGCATGGAGGGGAGAGAGTCCTAGAGAAGGAGGTAGGACTGAGGTGGTGGAGGGGATAATGGGGCAAAGCAATTAGGAGGGCAACAACAACAGGTTTGATCAGGGAAGCCATCAATGTCATGGTAGGAAGGGCAGAGGTAAGCAGGAGCAGAGTCTTTGGTATGAAATAGATGTATAAGGAACTGAGGAGCTGGCAGGAGGATCCAGAGAGGGAATCAGGGTTTGCTTTCTGGGTAGAGCAGCATGCCTCAATTACCCAGCCTAATGGTGACTGGAGGACGGAGGAGTGAGATGCTTAAGGAAGGAGAGGAATTTCATGTGAGAAACAGCTTTAAACCACTCAAAGTCTGTTTCAGAATTCAATTACCCCTCCCAGGTTCTACCTTTTATTAAATCGAGCCTCTGGAAAATCCTGTAAAGGTTTAAAGACTCCATCCTTTAATCACCCTATAATTATGTTTCATGGCAGTTTGCAAGCTTTAGGTCAGAGATGTGGAATGCAAACTGCTAGTTATTAACAGAGGGACCACAGGCTTGAGTGTGTCTGGGGACCAGAAGGATGTGGTTGCAATAGCGAAGCAACTTACAGAATGGTGAAGATTTGCCCAGGGTTGAGGTCGATGTTGTTCAGCTGAGCAATAAACACAGTTGCCATGCACTGAAAAATAGCAGCTCCATCCATGTTTACAGTGGCCCCAATAGGAAGGATAAACCTGCTGATCCTCTTGTCGACCCCATTGTTCTCCTCAACACACTTAATCATGGATGGGAGGGTGGCTGAGCTGGAAACAGAGAACAGGGAGAAATCAAACACATCAAGGTGCACTGAATGGCCAGTCACTGCCTCGTGGCTTTCATGTTGCTAACATGCTGCACACAGGATGTCAAGACAACAATGCCATTTTAGAGTCCCTCTCTGTCATAATGGCAATGAGGGACTCTCCTTGTTGAGTCTTGAGCACAGGTATTTAATAATCTGCTTCCATCCAGAAATAGCTGGTAAGGACTCTAATCTCCCAGAAGCAAGAACATGACTTAACATAGTATGAAGCATTACAAGTCTTAAAGCCACAAAAATATACCAGCAGATGCCAGTATGGCAGGAGAGGCTGTAAGGAGATGAAATAAGGTCCCTTCAACCCAAACCATCCTATAATTCTATGACAATTAAACACAACAGATTGTACTAGTGCCTTCTCAAATGAACAGAAAAATAAATTAAAAAGAAAATATCACTGTTGGATTTATTTCTTGCATTATAAATTAAATTGTTTTATTCATAAATCCTCTCCTACTATATAGGAAGGTTTATGAATAGTAGTTCAGCTTCTGTGACAGACATGCATCTACTTTTGGAGATGACCTGAAATGATTTTATATCGTTATGTCATTTGATCAGGTGTTTGTTCTTGAGAAAAGTGCAAATGACATGCTCAATAGTTTGGTTATGACAAATAAAAGTTGATCAGGCCAGATCTTTGAAATCAGTAATGTTAAATTCCTTTGAACTAGCAATCAAGTCTGCTTTGCTCCTGCAAAATTAGTCTAAACTTGTTCCAGGTCCTTCTGAACTTAGAGAAGTAAACTTCCCATGACAAAGTCCCTCACTACTGATCCTCACTTTACTTAAAATTAAAAGGACAGCTGGCAGGATCTTTTTAAGGCCATTACTTTCACCTTTTATTTTCCCCAAATATTTCCATCTCAGCATCATGCTACAGTCACAGTATTTTGAAGAATTGTTTTCAACAGCTAATTATCAGTATGTGATGTGTGGCAGGCTGCTGACAGCAGTGAGGCTCTCTACTCTCTGAAGTCTCTTTTTTGCAATCTCAGGAATAATATTCACACCTAAAACTGAAACTGGATATTATCAGGTTACGGTGTCATATACAACCAGGCTATAATCCCAAAAGAAGCACATAAACCCACCTGGAGCAGGTGGCAAAAGCAGTGGCAAGGGGTGTGATAAGTCCTAAGAGAAAACGATACGGATTTTGACGTGTGGCTGCAAAATAAATAAGCGGCAGAATGATTCCTCCATGGATGAAGTGGCCCAGAATAGAGGCGAAGATGTATTTTCCCAGACTGGTCACCAGAAGCACAATATCTTCCATTTCCACAATCTTGCTCCCAACGAGGAACATAATGCCAATAGGTACATACCTGTGTAAATGAAATATTGCCTGTCATTAAGTACAAACAAAAAGCCCTGGAAAATATGCCCTTTTTCATCCTAGAGATAATGTTCTTGTAAAGAACTTGCTGCTCCTACTGAGGGGTAGTTCCTTATTCACGACACACTAAGGTTAAGCAAATTGGGAAGGCTTCTCTAACACTTTTGCTTGGTGGATGGCAAGCAGTTAAATTGAAAAAGCTCTGTTCACTTGTGCCCTCAAAGACACAGGTAGGAGAGTGCCAAAGAGAAGCCGAGCAGGAAGTAGAAATTCTGGCAGAAGCTACCAGGACAAGACACCAGTGTGGAGTTTTAGGGTGGAAGGCAAGCAAAGACCTAAAGCTGAAGGGATGGCAGATGGAAAGAAAGAAAAAGGAGCGGTATCATGTCACTGGAGCAGAGAAAGGGGTGGAAGAGTTGGGTCTTACACATGCAGAAACTACCAGCACAAGTATGAAGTTAGGTCATTAAAATCACAGACATACTGGATGCCAAGATACTCAGTGTAGGAAAGAAAAAGCTATGCACATACCAGAGAGCTCAGCTAAAGGCTGGTGATGCACGTGCCAAAGATAGCAATTAGCTCTGCTATTTGCCTACAAAGGACTAAGTTAAATGATTAAGCCTGAAGAGCTTCCTTCAAGCCAACAGCCAGGCACACACACATATCCATGCCTCCTATCCAGAAACATGCCACATCAGCATTTGTTTAAGGTTTCCTTCGTCAAGAGCACTTGGAGTTACTCCAGGGGAAGGGCCACCTGCAGGCCACAGCCACACCTCTGGTCCCAGTAGTGCAGCTGGGAACAGCCCCGGAAAGACAGAACTGCCTTTTCACCAAGAGCACAACAGCTCTAAATGGACTGCGTGAATCACTTCAGGCCCAGGGTCAGTTCCTCCCCAAGTTCTACTGGGATGTTTGTGGCTGAGTACCTCTGCTGATGCTGTCCACACTTCATCCTTTTCTGCTTCTAAGATTTAGAAATACTACAAGATCACCCAGCTTGCCAGAACCCTGCCCCACGCACACATGTGACTACAAAAGATTTGCCTGTACATCTCAGGAATGAAGAATCCAATGCTCATGTTCAGAGAAGCTGATTTGTTGAGTAAGGACAAACTTCAGAAGGTTTGGTTAAGCCTGCAAAGGTTTGGAAAGATGGGCAAGCCTTAAGGTTGCCAGATCACCCACTTCTTCCTAGCCTGCCTCTCCCTCAGTGGTTCTGCAGCTCCTCTGTTCCATGCAGATGTCCCAGATCCATGTGAGCATCCTCTCCCTTGGCCAAATCTCTAGGGGGGCCTGCTGAACATTCCCCACTTAGCCTCTGCCATTGTGCCACCTACTGCCTTTGAACTGTGTTTCTGAGCACCCTGATTAGCCAGATCCAGCTGAGCCTGGTCCTGCCCAAGCTCCGCAAACATGAATAATGGATTCAGAGCTGAGACTGGATTCCTCCCCTGGAAGAGGGAGGTTGGAGAGGAAGGAACTGAAAGTTCAGACCAAACTGCTGCTAAATGGTCCTGCTGAATAGGACTAGATACAAGCCCAAGGTGCTTTTTCTCTTGACAGTATGATTTCACCCATTCTAAGGTATCCTTTGGGAAGGACATGCAGCTTGACAGATTCTGAATAAATACCAGGACAACTAAAGAGCCTTAAGGAAGTAAAGAGAACAAGTAAGGGCTACAGTGAACTGCAGTGCTAAGAGTCAGCAGTGGTCCCCATAATCCACAAAGTAAAGGATTACATACCAACTGATTGGCTTGAAGTGCTGGCACTGTAATGAGCTGAATACAAGAACTGCCTCTTATCGGTATTGTGTCCAAGGAATTACACTCAAGAGCCAAAAACTTAAGCTGCTTGGAGACTGAATTTTTCAATCCCTTATGACAGCAACTAACACAGAGATCTGCCTGTGTGAAATCAGGTGTTTTGTTAAAGCCTTTCTACTTCTTAGAGAGAGGAAAACAGTAGGAACAACAAATGCAGAATGAAGGGGGGAAAAAACCACCTCTGCTAAGGTACGTTTATAGCTTTCTCAAACAGCTTTGGAAAGGGAGTGAGAAATGTTAATATATTTGCTATCCTTATGAATATGTTTAACTTTGCATGTGAGGTATTATCACTGTTGGTTTCACAGGAGAGGCCTAGATCCCTCCAGCTGCACGAGGACAGCTATGACACTGCTCTGAGGCCAAGATTTATCCTATCTGACAGAAAGCCCTGTCAGGAGGCTGTTCCTACCCCGGCTTAGGGGGCCTGAACCACTCTCTAGAGGTGTATGCCTCCTTCAACGCTGGTTTCTTGCCTAGGGAGAAAGTTCACTGATGTCCAGTTCCTAACATACAGACCTTTTTTGGTGCCAAAAGCTTTGTGAGATGGGTCAGAGCAACATTCAGCCCATAAACATGTCTAGACTCCAGAGAAGTTAAGTGAAATAATGGACTTGCTCATTAATAGGCCAGAGAAAAAGTAAACAATCAACTTCGGGAAATAGAAAGCTAATTAATTCTACTAATTAATCAAAAAGGAGTCCTGCAGAGGCATTATAAACAAATGTCTAAAGTTTTTCTGACTGATACCTTAAGCTATGAGTGATTGTCTAATTACAGGGCATGAGCAAGAAGAAAAGACCCCATAGAGTGATACCACGACAATCACTTTTGCTGTGATGAGGGATCTGGTAGGAAAAAGCCAGATAGATAAATGCTAAGTTTCCAGAACATAATATTGTACTGAAAGGTGCATCTGCAGTCACACACTTACCACATAATCCAGGAAACCAGGACCATGGTCGCCTCATTGAATGAATTAAAGAAGCGAATCAGATCTTCCCCCTCCTGGCCAAGCTTTTTCAGGGCCACTCCCAAAACCAGAGCAAACAGCACCAATCCCAGGATGTTCATCCCTTCAATCTCAGTACCGACAGGAATCTGCAGAGAAAAAAAAGAGAAGGCCTGTTAGATGTGAGATCAGCACAGAACGTAACAAAACGGTCACCTCACTTTGTTGCTACCCAGTTGATCTGAAGTCAACAAGCAGAACCTATTTTGGAAAGAAGAACCTATTCTGTTTGATCAAACGATCTGGATGCAGTTCAGATACAAAACTCTCTAGCCATGAGCTGGCATGGATTCACTGGAGAAGGAAAGTGCCTGCTACTACCCCCTCTCGTGCCCTTCAATATGATATGTGTGTTGTCAGTGACCTGAGCAGGAAAATCCCCAGTTTACTCAGGACTTTAGTGCAACAGTGAAACCCATGAGAAAACAACCAACGTTATGGAGAAGAAAAGGGGAAAAGGGCAGAGAAAGGCAACATACTGTGACAACCTACTCATTAACCTGTCCATGTCAGCTCTGGGAGATATAGAGAGAACAGAAGAGATACCTGTTCCCCCTCTCAGAAATCATGTCACTGCATGGTAAGAGGATAAAAGCAGGATCCACCTATTGACAAAAACTACTCTGCTCTGCTAGTCCTTCATGGTTTGTTTCTCAAAGAGAGTTGGAGCCTGTTTGGCAATGTAGTATCATATGAACTGAATGAGTGCTCTTGTGGCTACATAAAAATATAATTGTTTTGACAAACTGCTTTTTTTTCCCTCCCCAACTTGGCAGTACAGGCTCAACATGTCAAATTGTTGTTTTATTTGGAAGAACTTCTATAACAGATGAGGTTTGTGTACAAGGTTTGGCCTTTTGGCTGGTTTAAGTGGACACTAGCTCAACACTAGGAAAGAAAAACATATTCTGAGCTAAAAGCTTGAAATGAATATTGACTACAGATTTTGGGATACTGTTCTTGTAAATCTGATAAAATCAGCCTGCTTGAGATCATGTTTTTGCTGGAAGTAAACCACTGAACTGGACTGTCTCAGTGGTAGGTGGAAACAAAGCACTGCAGGGAAGGGGGTAAAACATAAATGATACACAAAAGCAGGAAGGCTAAACTGCTCTTAACAAAAGTGTTTACAAACAGTGAAGGTGCTGACATTTTTATTTGCTAATACAAAATACTTAGATATGGGATCTGCAACTTTTTATGGTAGTTGCTTGCTCCAGGCTAAGCTGCCATTATTTATTTGATTTCTAATTGAAAGAACTGAAAACATGGACAGATACTAAGCGTGAGGCACAGTGCATCTCCAGGGATGTCTGAAGAAAGGTGCCCTTTCCTCCACACACAGTAACACTTCTCTGTCTGGATAGTTTTGGCTATATTCTGTTTTGTGTGTCTGAAAGCCCTAAACTCTTCAGTGGTTAGAAAAGACCAAAAAAACGACACCCTCTTATTAAGTGGATAAACTGTCTGTGTACATGGGATGTTATTTTATAATATTACATCTTCTACTGGGTTCATTTGATACAAGGCTAATATGAAAAGTTCAGCTTGGAATGGAATTTTACCATAATGGTCACAAACTTTTTCCACAAATAAAACTATCCTAAAAACATTGAATATTCTTTTGGTTTGGTTCTCATTCTGAAAAAAAAAATGATATAAGACTTTGCTATGGTACAGAAATTCAGTGTTTCAAGCTACTGAAAGAGATCTGGATGTTACTGGGGAGGAATTTAACTATACTACATAATACTGATGTCTTGCAAAGGATCTCCACCCTTTAAACTCCTTCTACCAGGGATTTGCTTCTCATCTCATGAAATGCAGTGGTGTGAGCCTGAAGCCCAGGAATCCACTACCATTTAGGCTTCTCAGAAACTTTTCCACTTTCAGGTCTTGCTCTCTGTTTCTCTCTCTTGAGCCAATTTTTTTTAAACATACAACATTCAGCATCATCTCCCATCACTGCAGTTGTAGGCAGAAGATCCATGCATCACTTGCATGGAGCAGTAACTTATTGTAAGAAATCTCTGCCTGCAAATCAAGGGGACGATCTGCAGCATTCAGGGAATTTCACCTCCCTGCAGCACAATATGGAACAAGCCCAGCAGTAAATCTTCAGCGGAAGATCCTCTCAATCCCAGCCTCTAATACTGGCAGATGCTGAACAGCCTTTTTGTACTCCAACAGAAAAGTGCATCACCCCAAAGGGGCTGCCAAACCAAGCAGCATTGTGAACACCAAACAAAAACAGCTTTAATGAGGACTTTGTTCCTGGACAAACTATGGGGCACGTTATTGTTTGCCTGAAATTCTGCGTTCTGGTAGGAAGATTCATGGAGCTCTTCTGGTCCTTGAATCTCTCTTAAGATCTTATTGTTTTCTAGCTCTTGAAACAAAATGCTTATCAAGGAAACAACTGCTGACATTGAACTGCCCCAGTAGTAGATGGCTGAAAAGAAAATGAAGCCATGTGATGCGAGGAAGAAGAGCAACCACTGGTTTGTGTATTTTTACTGCTGCCAGAAGAGGAACTGAGTTCCCCCAAGCCTCTCTGTGCTACAGATGGGGAACTGAGATAGTCCATGCCCCAGGAAGCCTTGCTGCCAAAGCAGCATAGAGGATGTAGCCATAAAAGCTGGGTAAACATGAGATGAGCATGTGAAACAACAAAAAGGACGTGGCTGAGCAAACATCTACATATCCACTATTCATTTCATCAGCAAGAGAAGACAAGGCCTATTAACCAGCGGGGGAAAGAAATATAATCAATGGAAAATTTTGGTCTACACTCTGCATACAGAAAGTTGAAGGAAAACATTTCTTCAATCAAATATTCTGCTGATGAAAGAAAAAAAAAACAGATAGGAATATCATTTTGCTTCCCTGGAACCAAACTTCTATCACTATGATTTCCAAAAATCATACTCTTCCTTTCTAAACTTAATCCTCATCTATCCACAAATACTATGGTCAGATCAGTACTGAAACTGAGCTAACAAAACTGAGATGATGCTTTCTTTTTATTTGGTCCATTCATCCCTAGAGACAGTAGGGCGTCTTCTGGAATTAAAGAAGCTCAGGTCTGGTTTTGCTCCAACAACTGAAGAAAGGTTTTGGAAAAGCAATAGCAGAAATAACCTTTACATCATAACTGTTGGCAAAAACAGGCACCAGTGACAAATTCAGAATATTTTTCCTGATATTACATCAAAGAGGAGACTGATAACAGGAAAAAGAAAGAAGAGAAATGAAAAATAGTCTCAAAATTTAAACTGCCAAGAGATGCACTCCTCTCTCTTAAGGAAGAGTGATGGCTTCAAACAAACATTAAAAAGATACTTGACAGCCAAGACTATGTTCAATGGATATGTTTAGCCTTAATCCGTGCTTGGTTGCTAAGGAGCCCCTATCAAACTTGACACTGAAGATCAATAGAAGAGTCTCATTCCCCTTTCATTTGCTTCTGCTTAAATGTAGAAAAACTCTATAACAAACACACAGAGCTAAGTGCACATTGCTACAGCCTTTCATGCCGAACTTGTTTTTTAGCAGCACAAAGCTGCAGGGGCAGCTGCCCAAGGACACGATGGCACGAGAGGAGAACACGCTCTTTTGGGATTCCGCAGCCGTTGCTGTGCATCCGCGTCAGATGGGCCGAGTGTGGATCTGGGCTAATGCAACCCAACGGGCATGGATGGAGCTGCCTTCTCGCCCAGTGGTGTCCAGGATAACTTTTCCCCTGCTCAGTTCATGCGTCAGCCAAGTCACCTGTCACCCTGTCTCCAGGGCTGGTGAAAGTTCAGCCCATCAGCTGAAAGCAGAGCTCGTAAACACTCTGTTCTGCATCACCTGCTCACACACCATGCGTGGGGAGGAGAAAGTAATGAAGCCAGTACTTCCTGCACCCGGGGATATGCTCCAGAGTCCCTCTGGATGATCATAAACCGCTTTTTCCTTGATGGTTTTACAAACTAGTAGGTTAGTCCCAGCTGAGCCCTGCCATGACAAATGCAAACATTACAAGTCTCTTGCCCTAGGGGCATTCAAATCATATTAAAAATATGGCAACCCAACTATCTGAGCTCAGATAGTCAGAATGAGCCTGAGGAAGAGAAAATAACCTTGAAAGTAATTTCTCAGACCTGCCTCCCCAAAATCCAATGAAAGCACATGAGGTACTTCATTTGGAGCAAGGTGACACCTTGCAGGTTGGGGCACTGGCTCTGTTTCAAAGCATGCTGCCTGTAATTATTGCTGGACCTGCAACATGTTGTCTCTGGCCAATAATAAACATGTTTGATGGACCCACGATGCAGGAGAGATGCCACTCAATGGGATACAGTGCATCTCTGAAGTCCTACAAGCTACATATGGAAGATAACACTCTCTACCTCATCTACACCTACAAATTAGTTTCTTTTTTGACACCATTCCAATAACAGCCTATTTGTAATGTTCTGTCTGTAATTTTTACGCCTTCAGCTCACGTGTTACAGCTTCAAACAAAATTTCAGCAGCATGGCAACCAAAAAAAAAATTCTCAACCAAATTCTTTTCTGTTTTTTTTTTAAAGAGCTTTGGGTAGTGGAAAAAAGCCCATTCTCTCCAAACTCTTAATGAAGATAAAGGTTTAAGGGACATACTATTTACGGGACTATTTAAGGGACATTGCTATTTAATTCCAAGTCTACAAAAAGTTATTTAAAAACATGAGGCAGTGACTAAACAAAATTTGGATCAAGTGAGATCAGGTCCAAGAAAGCACGGCCTAAAAAAATAATGTGTTGTGGGTCAGACCAGTTGAGCTCAACTCTCCTCCCCCATCACAGATTTTTTGTGTGGCTGTGGGTAACTGATCTGCCTTGTGTGTCTCAGTTCCAGGCAAAGAAAAGTACCTGTTTCTTTCCAATGACTGCTGGAAAGGATTAAAGACTTTGAAGTAGTCACATATTACAGCTGACAAGGGCTTGTTTAGAACCTACGAAGTGACCTTACCTTTTCCAACGTGACATTTCCAGAGGTAGTGTTTCTGAGCAGCATCTTATAATCTGTCGCATACTGCAGGTAAGAAAAAAAACATAACCAAACAAACCCAAAAAATAGTGAGACAGGCATTAAAATTGTCAGTAAAATATCTAAAATCTAGGGCAACAGTTTACTTTGATAAATAAGCTAGACACCTCCAAAGTAGGGCACTTCTTTGGGCTTGTTTTCTTTAATTATAAAATGAGGGAAAGAAAAGCCAATTCCCTATGACAACAGCAGCATAGAGGAAAAGAGGACTGCTTTATTTCATCCCTGAACACACAGAACACTCGAGGCATCACAGAATATCCTTTTCTTGGTGTTATTTTTGTACTGCTTCTGCTTTTATTCATGGAATACTGACTTGTACTGTATTATATATTCACTCAAAATGGAACTTTCATATCAAAATGTTTCGATATGAAAGCAAACCAACAGAGCACCATGAAGGCAAAAGCTATTATTCCACTCCTGTATCATGAAGAATCACTCTGCCCCATAGCAATATTCTCAACAGTATCTATGCTGACATCTAAAATTAGCAATGAGAACTAAATCAAAATCTTTTTGGAGCCCTACAGCTCCTGTCCGTCAGTTTAAACCACACTATGTTCTGGTGCCAGTTACCATCCTACCACACACAGTCTCTGTTGGAAGAGCAGCCAGGCTGAGTAATTAATCCAGCAAGAAATAAAATGGAAAACACTGAATAAAAGCGTCAGGTAACAGGTAATGCTTACACACATGGGAGCCTAAAAGTCTTTAGCCTTGTCAGTTCTGAGCCCAGCTCTAAACTGTGTACCCAAGGGTTTGCCAGCTAGCTCTTGCAAAGTGGTAACCAGCCTGGCACAAAGCAGAGTTGCCACTGCTGCCCAACACAGCACCCAAAGTTTAAAGTTTAAAGAATATTTCTGGTGAAGGTACAAAAGACAGGCTTTGAATATGCTTTTGTTTGACGAATATTTTTCAAAACCAAACTATTTGTCATGGAAGTTCCAAGTCTGATTACATCATGTGCTTTTGAAAATTCCAGTTATATAAGTAAACTAACTTTTGGTATTTTCTACGCCATATTTTTAGCCCTCTTGCAAAAAAAGAGCAGTAACTTTCTCTGCCTGTGCACCATAGCTCATATCCAAAGCCCATATAGATCTTACCGTTCGAAAAGCTGCAGCAACAAGATTTGCAGGAAACAGGTTTCTGTAAAAGACAAACAAGAAAAGTAAGTATTTCTTGTAGAAATTCTAAAATGAATGCACCAAGGTGTTTTGCTCTCAGAAACAGAATTCCTTTTGCAAAGGCAAGCATATGGGCACTAGTGAGGTGTGTAGTACAGAAGATACTCTGGCAGCATGGAGTATCTTCCTATGTCTCCAGAGGTGTCAGTGCCATCTTCTTTGGCTCACATAAAAATGTCCCTGCTTGTCTGCCAACCTCACCATTTGGGTGGGGCCACCAGAGGCAATCAGATACCCATCAGCCAGTGGCTACAGAAACTGGCTCGGCCACGCCAGCTGCAGCAACAGCTTAGGGCCTCCAGTGTCAGGCAGATTTTTAACATTACTCATGTGATTACACTGTGCTCACAGCATCAACATGAAGGACAATCCCATCAGCAAAATCCACTTAAGAGAATGGCTTAACCCTTCATCACAACAAGGTCAGCTTCCCTTAACACTGAGGCAGAGCAGAGCAATATCATGGGCCAGCCTTCTCTGCAAGGGCTTGGACAACACAGATGGAAAGTAGGGGCAACTCCTATGGAAAGCTGCAACATCTTCACACAGAAATGCAAATCTAGCAGCAGGTTAGGGCAGACACATGCACCTCTACTGGGCATCCAGTATATTTCTGCATCTAGGAAGCAGCGAGGAAAGGTGAACTGGGCCAAGTAGGGAAAATGTTGCTTCTTGTTATATTTTATAGTTGGTGTTAATTCCTTTCTCCCCTTATGCTGGGCGAAGAGCATGTGTTCCCCTAGCCAAATGACAGCTTCTTTTTTTTCCTGTGTCAGAAAGGAAAATAGGAATAAAATCTGGTCTCTGGGGTCATGGCAGGACCCCAGGTGAGGGCAGGGAAGGTGATGGGTATGAACTGAAAATACTGACAGCAGAAGGCATCAAGGAGGCACAAGAACTCTTATGGTAAGGAAAGAGAAGACCTTACTTAGAGAGAGTTAACTCTGGTAAAAATCATTTGGGAAGCTGTTCCCCATCCTTTGCTCCTTGCTCTGCTCCAAGGACACTGCATGTGTCTCCAGGCTGTGTCCTGCTAATGGTCCCTGAATTTTTGCTGTAGTTACCCTGGCAAACACGACATTTCAGCTGTGGTCATTCCATGACCGACACGGAACGTGCAAATCCGAACCACAGCAAGAAACAGAGCAGCAGAGTCAAACCTTTGAAAGCAAGAGGGAGATTAAAATACGGCCTAGGTAAGGACTTTGGTCTTTTTGGTTGCATAGCTCCACTCTCCTGCCACACAGGGATTTTCCCACAGCCGTGACAGCAATTGTAAAGTACATGGAACTTCATCAAACACATGGCTGCTGTGAACTACCTCAGCCTCCCTCTCTGTTCCACTACAAGTGTATTAGGAGACAGCTGCAAAAGCCAAGCTGCTCTAAGAATAATTTGCCTGCTGGAGTCTACATTCCACTGAGGATGAAAGAAACAGCAACTTTTTCTCCTCAAAAGTTGACAGTACAGCTGTCTGTCTGAAAGCAGGAGAGCGAGCTCTAATTCTGCAAAGACGCTTAAGAATTGGTCAAATAAGATCAATGGAACAGCTAATGTGCATCAGTGCTTGCACAGCTGGAACTCTCTGGTGGATAAAAACCTTGAGGAAACTAAAAGCAAACTTGCTGTTATCAGGAATAAAATATCACATATACAAATGGGCCCATGCTGTTGGGAAAATAAGGGTATTTCTTTTCAGCTTTCCACAGCAGGATGATTACTTTTTTTTTAAAAATAACTGACTGGACTTTGAAGAAGCAAAGAGATGAAAAAAGACTGAAAACGAACCAGAAATCAAATTTTTTTTCTTTAAATCAGCTTTTCCATCCTGATGAAAACAAAGCCAAAGGAAGCAACCCTAAAGCCTAAGCAACATGATTCTCCAATGTTTAAACGTGGCCAAGAAACCAAGCCCTCCACAATTTGCATGGTATGCCAAGCATGGGCCTCACTAATTAAACACCAACTTATCTCCAAGTATATACTTAAAGCACATACTTGAGTGATGCCACCAATCCTGTTACAGCAAGGCAAGGGGCAGGTTCTTGCTTCAAGTGTCAATACTGCTAAAGGTACTCAAATAAGAACCCAGAGCACACACTTTTCTGTATCACTCCAGCACCAGTCGCAGGACTTGACTCTGAGGGCAAAGAAGAGCATTTCCAACAATTCACCAAGTAAAAAAACCTGGATCTTAATCAAGGGGCTCAGAAGAAGTTGTATGTTCTGTTCAGCTTAACTTCTAACTACACCTGACTGCAAAATACTCAAACCACATAAAATAATGTTTTGCTCCTCTCTGTTTCAAATCCTGAAGTTTAAGAACAAAATGTGTCGGGTCATAAAAAGCAATCAACAAATAAATGGCTTACCTTGGAGGCATGAGGTCTGCAAATACTACACTCATTGCTCACCTAAGCTCAGTTAGCATGTGAATTAAATTCAACTTTAATTACAGGTGGGTCAGATCACAGGTTCTTACCTTTAGATGGATTTGTGCAAGAACACCACAGCAACGCCTGTGCGTGCTCTGGGGAGAGCCAAAAGCTGGTTAGTGACCTGCCTGGACCCATCATGTAATTGTGCCTGCAGGGTTTGCTCATCACTTACAGCAAGGCAAAGTTTACCCACCACAGAAACCCAGACAGCTCTGTCCCTGTGAGCCAGCATTCAGCGCGTCCCCAAGCAGAGGAGTCACATGGGGAAGTGTGAACACCCCTCCTGTGAGGGTGAACCAACAAACAGGAAAGCTGATGAGCTGGGTAATTGGGCATGCAAATTAAATGTGGGTGTCTGCCAGTTGGTTTTTCTGTTAGGACCAAATGTTGAGAAGGTTTTTTTGCTTCGAAAGCCCACAGCAAACGCGAACGTGGAGTTTAGGGAAACAGGGAAAGCTATAGGTGAGCTGTGTTAGGAGGTGGCTGGAGTCCCATTCTCGTCACCACCTCTCTCCTCCTCCCTGGTTTGGTGCCCAGCAGGATCAGTGCCAAGCTGGCTCTCTGCAACGTCACCTACTCAGGCAGGTGCCAAGCCCCTGAGCCCACCACACCAGAGCCAGCCTCCTCTGCCACCTGCTACCCACTTCACAGCAGGTTGTACCACTGGACTGCTGACTGTTTCTAATGGCTTCATTTCTGCTGTTTCCATATCCTGTGCCAGAGAACACGGTTGCCTTTTTGAAGCAGATGTGGATTATCACACGAACACGACGCTGAGTGAACCCTGAGTCTGGGTGATAAGGAGCCCGGCACAGCAGTGTGGGATCAGACAGCCTTGGCCCCGTGATGTACAAAGACAAAACCTGCTGCATGTGGCCAGAATGAAACAGGGGACCCATGACATCATGGCAGGCAGACAGAAGTTCTTCATGTATCCCAGGTGCTCCACTGCTGCCAGGACCTCGGTCCACACACACACAGACCCAACCTCCTCTCTGGCATCAAAGTGAAATAGGTGGTTCTACAGAGAGACTTTACTCCCCTCAACAGGCACCAGGCAGGAAAGTCTCTCTCCGTTGCAAGTTGCACAGACAGCCCCAAAAAGCCCTGTATCAGAAATCCATCAAACAGCTGCCGAGGGTGACAGCTGTGTCCTGGGGCTGCAGCAGCAGCTGGGCTGAGCCAGGAAACCTCCAGGTACCTGCACAACACACAGTGTGAGAAACCACCCTTCTCAGATCCTCTTAAAATAGGAACGAGAAAGCAGCAGCAGCAGCAAGGGTGGGCATTACAGTGCGTGAATATTTTCTGCTCGAATACTGTGCTCATCACACCATCTCCCTATGCACAGCTGGATAAGTGCATCTTCCTTCCAGTGAAAAGCTGCTCCTACCACCTAAAAGGGACCATTACTTCCCTAATCAAATTGAGCAGGAAGGTCCCACTGTACTTTTGTTGCAATAGAAATCTTTGTTTAGCTGGAACGCTTGCTGCTGGAAATCCCAGACAATTAAGGGACCTTGGAGCTATTAATGGAGCAAAGAGGGGCTGTAGCTCCCCCATTCTCTATTTTGACATTATGGTCAAATTGCTCTCTTCTTTATAGGCCTGAATATTTCCACCAGCAGGATAAGGATTCCACAGGAAATCCTTCATTGTATGTGTAAGGGATTATTATTAATAACTGTTTCTAAATGATGATTTTGCTAGAGCTCTGCAAACAACTTTGCTCTGGCAGCAAAAGCATGAAGGGATATCCAGACAAGTAGAATGAAACCCTAAAATACTACGCATTCCTCTTGCATAGCTTCTTGCAAAAAGGTTCCACTTCCGATGCCAAAAACCTTGCTGTTGGAAAACATACTTTTGTGAGGGTGCCTAGAAAAAAATATTCTGTGTTGCACTACCTCTAGTTTTGGGGTTTTTTTCCAATGAAGTGTTTTCAATGGTACAAGTCCACTCACAGCAACTTTATTGCCATCTGTGGCATAATGATGAAGCCCAGTTTGAATTCCTACACTACCTTTATTTTTCTTTCTGTGCCAAGATTTCCATTCATCATAACAAAGCATTTTTTCTCATCTGCTTTTTGATATGTACGTGGGTGCTCAATACACGCTCTGGACACACATATTTCTCAGTGCGTGCCTTTGTTTCAACACAGAGAAACATGAAAATGTGTTTACTTATAGCAAATACTTGATACTTTTTTGCCTTACTGTTCCAGTCTGCATATTTGTTACTTCAAAAATAAAACTAAAGGGGGGAGAGTCAGTAGTAAAAGGCAACAACCAATATAAAGAACTAAAGAAAGGAGCAGAAATGTTCAGAGATTTATACCAAAAAAAACCCCACTAGACAGTGCAGGCACATGAATGAAAACACTGAGTTCTTCCTACAAAAATCAGTCAGCAATCCCTGTACTTCAAGGGAGATTCCACATGGAAAATGACTCAAGCCAAGGGGGACAGTAACATTTATTTCCCTTTCTTTCTGGAGGTGCCCCCAGAGTTAAGAACTAGCCATCAGCTTTGAAAACCAGTGGTCAGCCCATCTCTTC